TGAGAAGGCACTATACTTAATAATACATTATTAGTTATTCTCAATCAAAATGTTTGAAAGTGTCTATGAATATTGAAGTAATGTTATTTATTTATGATTTCTTATAGTAGTAAATACATAATATAACATATATTGTACATTGTGTATATCATACAATATGTTTGAAAGTCACTACAGGATTATAGATCATATATAATTTATTTTATTTCAATATTTAAGCACAGTTCCTTCTCTGTGCAAGAATTTTTCTTGCAAATTATTGAAAATAAATTGTTCAAGTTGGCGCTACAAGTGACAAAGAACTAACCAAAGATTAAAATAAAATTAGATATAAAATCAATGTTTTTTTATTATTTATTATATCTAATATTTCCACTATTTTCATTTGTCTAGAATAAATAGTAAGAAAATATTTCAGAATACTTCCCGACAGAGTAGAAATTAAATATTCGCACGCGGACAGAGCTGCGCGAAATACCCTGTTATTGCAGTAATATACTTATGTTCGGTTGTATATGTCTTTTGTTTTGTACAACTTATGAAGAAATGATGAAGGCTTTTTAAAATTCTCTACAATAAATTTCGGAGAATTTTAAAAAGCATGAGTATCGAAAGCAAGAAAGTTAGTGGGCGGGTGGAAGCTACAAAAAGCTTTTGAATTGATTGTCCAGTGTCAGGAAATTGTTGGGTGGTGCCATTGTTTCTCAGTCTCACGAAGGCTATCCAACTTTTCTCATTAGGGCGATCTGTTGCGGAGCCTCGCACCATCAGAGCGCTTACAACGTTACAGGGGTACGTTATTAACAATAGGTAATTTTATGAAAGCTCGTGAAATTTAAACGTCCGAAATTTGCCTCGTCTGTAAATGATTCTCGACGAGATTAGCCATAAACAAAATATTATTCGACGAATAATACAATGACAAATAAATTTTGGTAATATATTTTGTCTTTACAATAATACAGCGTAGGTAGGTGCCAACAATTTAACCAATGCCACGTACCAGACTTAAATACATATAGAGATACGTATCTCATGCCATTATTTATATAATTAATATCAACCTATTATACCTATACATACCTATTATATAATTAATATTTAAAACAACCTGTACTTGTACTTTAAATATAAAAAAATGAAAATAATATATTAAGATTAAAGAATGTATTTAAAATAATTTTCTATAGTTTTATGCAGCCTAATCTTAGAAACTGTTTATCTATTATAGTTGATTCCAGTTTTCAACGAAGTCTTACAACTTACCGTAACAAATGTCTATTTTATTCTTATTCTAATCAAAAAGTTAATGTAACCTATGGTTATTCCAAAACTTTAGTATGTATATAAAATGGATGGTACAGCTAGTTTTAAAATAAAATTTAACCAGTGAGACAACATTCATATTTCTTACTTACTTAGCGTCAAGGCAAGACTATTTTAAAACCAGCAAAGAAACTTCGTCGGAGTTACTTTTATTCAAACTATGTTTTAAAGAAGCATTCTGTACAATCTACAGAATAGAAAATGCATTCTTGTGATCACAATAAAGTATTCATTATTCGTATCTAACATATATTACGCTGGCAATATCAACTTAGTGCGCGTGGACTTCTGTATGCTTCTCTCTTCTCTTCTGTGGGTTTCTCTATCTAGAAAAAAAATGTAAAATATTTTTATTCAGTTCTTTAGTATTCATAAACAAATTTAACTTGGAACTAGTTAGCGTTGTGTGTATTATTAAATTTATTACTATTATTAATTATAATTCTCTGCGTGAACGAATTAGAAATGAGGAGATCCGCAGAGGAACCAAAGTGACCGACTTAGCCCGAAGAATTGCGAAACTGAAGTGGCCATAGGCAGGGCACATAGTTCGTATGACAGATGGCCGTTGGGGCAATAAAGTCAAGAGTGGCGACCATGGACCGGAAGACGCAGCGTGGGAAGGCGGAGGCCTTGCTGGAGAGCAAGGTGAATCTCCAGCAGCGACGATCAAGATCGGTGGAAGGCGATGGATGCGAGAAGCGCAGGACCGATCGTCGTGGAGATCTTTGGGGGAGGACTTGAAGACCACCGCTGGACAAAGATGTCCAGCAGTGGACGTCTTCCGAGCTGAGATAGTGATGATGATTAATTATACGAACAGGTGCTGCTTGTGTGGACTGGTCTGCTCTAATCACTATGACTTATTTTCTCTTATTAATTGTTTAACCAGTTGTTGTATATTGAATGTTTTTTCTATTTTATTATTTCATTGATTTAGTGCTAATCGGTGGTTTGTATTCACACACTTAAACTTAAATTGTAAGTTAGAATAAATTATTTAAAAGAGCAACACACAAGTTTCTTGCTTATTCTTCTTGTGATGAGACAGCATTCCGAATGAGCGGTAGATTAAAAAAAAATGTTATGACTATTCAAAAGTGCTTCAATGTAAGTTTATTTGAATAAATGATTTTCTATTCTATTCTATTCTATTACATATATTATTATATTATACAGTTCAAACAAAATCTTATATGTAGATATTTAAAGTGATGAGAAGTTTGTGGTATTTAGCAGTAGAATGAGTAGCAAGCTGTAAACTTAATTGTTATCTATTATAGAATTAGCAATGAAAATCTAACGTGATTTTCTTTTTATTTGAGGATTTGCATTTAATTACGTTATCTCTAACAAATTTGAAGTTAAATGTAATGTTTACATTATTGATACTAAACAACACAACATGTTCAAGAAAACAATTACAATTAGTCACGAGTTCTTTTTATTATTTTTTCTAATTATACTTCTTTTCTACATTTTATTACTCTTAAAAAAATCGTTAACACTATTTAACGTGGGACGAAGACTTTGATCAGTTTTTCTGATATTATTAATGTAGTTTCTTTATCGTCAATGGCATATATATATATAGAAATCATTTATTCAAATAAACTTAATTTAAGCACTTTTGAATAGCCATAACATTTTTTTTTATCTACCGCTCATTCAGAAAGCTGTCTCATCACAAGAAGAATGAGCAAGAAACTTGTGTGTTACTCTTTTAAATAACCCTTGTAACTTTACATTTATAAATCGAAACGTGTGAATACAAACTACCAACCATCACTATTTTTTTTAGGTCAAATATAAATATACAATATGATTAAATCAGTCGTAGTGATAAGAGCAGACCAGTTCCTACAAGCAGCACTCATTCACGAGTATGACGGATGAGACGACCATATTTTAGGGAGCCCAATGACCCGGCCCACCACGCCGCCACATGTCTGGACATTTTAGTGAGCATGACTACTCATTCCACTCGACCACGTCACAGCTATTTCACGTAATGATGGACTCTATTTATTGAAAAGAAAATAATTAATGGAAAAGGACGCAGAAATACGATTTCGATCTGGAATGATATCTTCCACACACCGAACACCCCAGAGTAAGCAATGTAAAACCAAATTTACTCACCTTTGGTCAGGAACGTCCCTATGTGTAGTACTAGTATTGACCTATATTTTCTTAAAAAACAATGATATTATATTAAATAAATCATTAATAATCTCGTTTCATACAGTTAAAAATACGGAGCGTCCGTTTTATACCAGTTCTTATTTTCAATTGTTTTCTTTTATTCTAAATTCGAAATTTAAGTTGCCATAATTATTTGTGGGCAGTATTACCAAGCGGCCTTTGCTTCAGTTAGATGAAGAATGATAAAACCTGCTTAGACCAAGGAGGTTCGGAATACGGAACATATATACCATATATAACGAAATCGCTAGCATCATTGGTAATAAAATATACACATTGAATTGGATATATTAATAATGAACAGATAGTGTATAAATATTTAAAAAATTAATGACATTTTATATTTAATGCACTGATATAAAGAGATATCAATACTTTATATTAATAGTAATTTAGCTTCGCTTTATATTACTATATAATAGAGATTGGACGTCTATGACAAAAAGACCGCCTTCGTCAACTGTCAGCCAGTTGCATCACGATAAAACCTCCATTGTGTAGTAGTGGAGTTAAATAAGCAATAATTTATATAAATTTATAGGACTGTGAATTAAGTTAATGTTTACCTATATTATTACTGAGAGTATTTTTGAATCAAGTATTGAATAAAAACTTTCGTCTTAATTATACTTGGTCCACCGATATTTAACATGCGGTAGCCGGAGCATTTATCTACTGTAACGGTGAACAAATGTTGCTAGATATATTTGGTGGATCCACGAGGAAAGCTTCAGGGCCACTACCATTCTCAAATGAATTTGGTTAGGTGTTACCATCACTGGGGAGTCAATCAGAAATACATATATAGTGACACATAAGGTCTTATCAATTTAACTAGCCGAAGTAACAGAATGACAGCCGGACTACTTCATGTTTTTGTCTAAATAAAATCTCTCTTTAGTAGTTGTATCTCTAAATAAAATAATTAAAATTTTAAGAATAAATTAAAAGAAAATTAAATCAGTTTCTATAGTTGATAATGCCAATATTTATATTAAAAATTTGTAGTGTTTTTCCAGATTAGAATGATGACTTACGCTATAAGTTGGGATAGTTAATGTACAATGTATTTTATTCAGATCACTGTTCCTTTTTAAATGCTGTAGTGTCATTAAAATTATATTAGTAACAGACATCCAAACATTTCTCAAAACAGGAGAAAAATCACAGAGTACAATTCAGTCGCCGAAAAAACGGATATAATATAGAAAGAGGTTAGGAAATTGAAAATTGTGCCGCGGAATATAACCCCATTACTAAGGAAATGAGCTACGTGAGTATGTTGTAGAATTTTGCCTCGGAGCTCGGCAGCTGGGAGGATCTCGAGTACCAAATAGCAAATCAGACTCACCTGTACTCTGAGCGATAAGAAAACACCTTTCTGTATAATTTTTGATTCCGCTCGCATATACTGTTTGGATATGACAGCTATTTATTATATATATTATATTGTTTTTTTTTCTCGACTGGCAACATTACCGATAACTGTCTTTGTCAGCTGGCCGTAATAATTAAATACTTTTATATAATTTACTACTCGATTTTTTTAGTGCAATTGATATAATTAGTGAGTTTAAGCTATAAGAAGCATCTATTGTTGTTTGTGTTCATTTTTATATTGTATTTGTGTACAAAAATCGACACAAATATTTCCTACCGGTCAACTGTCAAAGTTCGTAATAAACTTATATTTACATCAATCTTGTATATGTTATCGCGTAATTCAATTTAAATTATTATAACATTCCTTTATTATTACTTGTTTTGTGTTACATGTTAATATTGTGGTAATTTTAAAAGTGAATTCAAGTTGTGCGTCGAGGAAAAAAAAAATTACCCACTAACCAAATATTATTGTAAGTACTAACTGTAAGTTCTTACATATAATAATCTTTAGTATTGTTATTTATATTTAACATATTTACTAACATTACTTACATATTATATATTTATAAATAAATTTTATTGTAAGGAAATAGCACAAGTTTTAAATTCCATTTAATTCCTTTATATTTAAATTTATTACTCAGCATATTTAATAATGATGTCCCGAAGAGCCTGTGATCTTGATGCTAAACTTAAGGTGGCACTCGTTGAATTAAAGAAAACCCAAGACTTGAATAAAGTATTTTTACAGGAACGGGATGATAGTGAAATAGAGATGAAATCTCTATTTGACAAATATGTGGCCCTGAAGGGGGAACTTGTAAACATTAATGTATTCTGTGAAGACCTACGCGTTGACAGGGATAGACTTCAGGAAATTGTTAATGAATATGATCACTGCAGGGACACATATGAGTCAAATCTACAGCGTATCACTCACCTCGAGAGACACCTTAAGGAAGCTCAAGCACATAGTGAATCTATGTTGGAACACAAACGGGTGAGTAGCTATAATAACACCTTAGATCTGTATACAGAATTGTTAAATGTCACTTGTGATCAAAAGTCTACTCAGCCGTTGGTGACCATAGATTTAACAAATACACCCAGCTCAAATAGTTGTACTAGTCAATTTAATAGTGTCAATAAATTAAAAAAATATATAAAAATAAACAAATTTATTAAAAAGTCAGAAAAGTTAGTGAGAACTCATACTAAATGTTTAAAATCTATAAATATTAGAAGACAAAAATTAGACCTGTTACAAGAACTTCAAAATTGTAAAACAAATTTACATGATAAGGATTTAGAACAAAATAAATTAAAGAGTAAAATTCAAGAGTTGGAATCTTTATTATATAATTTAACAAATAAATATGAGTGTGCTCAACATGAAATTAATAACTATAGTAAATCACTGGATAAATTAATAGAGTTGGGTAATTACAACATGGAGCGGTTCACCTCATTGACAGAGAAATGTTGTTGTGAGACACCTGAATCTCCTAAATCTTGTCAATATAGCCCTAATGGAAATAACAATAAGTCAATCACATCAGTCTTGACTGAGTCAATCACTCCTTGTTCAAATTTACTCAATTCTAACTTGTCTTTAAAAACTGATAATTGTAATGTTGCACCAGTACGAAGGACAATTATTTATTCAGATGAATATGGTAAGGGTTTGGGCCGTTCATTATCAGAAAGTTTATCTCAACATGTTATAAATAATTGTCTACCTGGTGCTTCATTGCCTAATATTTTAAATAAGGTGGTTAATGGTAGGTATGATAAGTTAACCACATTAGTCATTGCTTTAGGCAACTGTTTAAATGTAAAAAAAAGTCATGTCATTAAACTTGTAAACTCTTTGCTTAATATTGCTGAGCTGGGCATAGGTAAAATAATTTTATGTGCATTTCCTTACTGTCATTCTCTGACTATTGAACAAAATAAGTTCATATATTATATTAATAATTTAATTTATAATATGACTTGTCGTCATAATGACTTTTTATTTTTTGATAGTAACAAATTTGTTACAAACTTTTGTATGACTGGAGATAGATTTTATCTGCCTAAAAAACAAATAAGAAATATAGCTAGTTTACTAGCTTATAATATAAATGACCCCATTATAAGTAATATAATGGGTTGCACTAATCCAATTAGTAGTATTTGTACTAATGTTAATACTAAACATTCTGAAAATATTGACATAAATATTGATTCTAGTAAGAATCCTTTTATTTACAATAATTTAAATATGACTGCAGATTTAAACTGCTGAAAAAGACAAAGGGAAAGCTATCAGAATTGAAAATTGTTCACCAGAACATACAAAGTTTTCTCGGCTGTGAATTAATTATTCAATTGTTTTTAGAAAAAAATAATATAGATGTTCTATGTTTAACTGAACATTGGCTCAAAGTGAGCAATATGATGTTAAGCTTAAACAATTATAATATTGTCAGCTGCTTTAATAGAAAAATAGTAAATAGAGGAGGTTCCATGATATTGGTGAAAAATAATATAAAAGTAAAAGAACGTAGTGATATTGGCAATCTTTCCGTTGAGTGTTGTATTGAAATTTCCTGCGTGGAACTAGAAAATTATATAGTTATGTGTGTATATAGACCTCCAAATAGTGATTATAATTTATTTGAAGAGGTAATGGAGGATATTTTAAAAAGAGTATTTAATATTAACAAAAAATTTATAGTGTGTGGTGATTTCAATGTTGACATTTTATCACATAACACCACAAAAACTAAATTAATGAGTTTATTTCAATCTTTTGACTTGAGTAGTGTCTTCCACGAACCCACTCGTATCACAGCCACGTCTGCTACTTGTTTGGATAACATATTTAGCAACAGTGAATATTTAGATAAAATAATATTAAACAACCTTCCTTCTGATCACTGTGGTCAATTAGTAATTTTTCCAAATCACGTAAACAAAATTAGGAAAATTAATTTATTAAAAAGAGACTTGACTAGTTATAAGATCAATAAATTTAAAATATCAGTTCGTAGTAAATTAGATTTTTGTCCTCAATCTGATGAACCAAACAAACTTTATACAGATTTCTTCAATATTGTTTCTTACGAGTATAATAAGGCTTTTAACAAAAAAACTATCAGTATTAGTAACAAAACAAAATTTTCAGAATGGGCTACAAAGGGAATTCTTAAAAGTAGAAATATATTATTTGATTTATATGATCAAAAAAAATACCGTTTCGATAGTACATTCGTAAATTATGTAAAAAGATACTCAAAAACTTTTAAAAAGGTATGTAATGTAGCAAAGTCTAATTATCTAAATAAAAAAATTAAAGAATCCAAGGATAAGATTAGGACAGTGTGGAATATTATTAATAAAGAAACTGGCAAAGTTAAAAGTCCATATAATGATTTTACGTTAAATTATAATGATAAACTAGTAACGTCCACAAAAGAAATAGTCAATATTTTTGAAAAATTTTTCGCTAGTATTCCAACTGATATTACGTCCTCTTTGGACTCTTCTCCAAGTACAGCTAAATCATTCCTTATTGACAATGTTGCTTCGTGTCCGGTTACATTTAAATTTACATTTATTGACATTGCTACAATTACGAAAACATTTAAACAATTAAATTTAAAAAATACTGAAGACCATTGGGGCATGTCTGTTAAAGTTATTAACACCGCTATAGATGTTATTGCTCCATATTTAGTAACTATCTTCAATAAATGTATTTTTGACGGTGTTTTTCCCAATTTAATGAAACATAGTAAAATAACTCCACTTTTAAAGTTAGGGGATAAAACTGAAGTAGGTAATTATAGGCCCATTTCTATCTTACCAGTACTAAGTAAAGTGTTTGAAAAAATTATGCTCAATCAGATGCTTCACCACTTTAAAATAAATAGACTGCTTCACAGTCGGCAATTTGGTTTCACGGCCGGTAAATCAACTACTGACGCTGGTGTAGCTTTAATGAAACACATTTTTGACTGTTGGGAGAGGTCACAGGATGCTATCGGTGTATTCTGTGACCTCTCAAAAGCATTTGATTGCGTTGATCATGAAACACTCTTACTCAAATTAGAATATTACGGTATTAGATATGAAGCACTATGCATGATGAAATCCTATCTAAATAATAGAATGCAAGTTGTTGAAATAAATGGTGTAAAGTCTGAGGGAACTAGTATTAAAATGGGTGTTCCTCAGGGCTCTATTCTAGGTCCTTTCTTATTTTTAGTTTACATAAACGATCTTCCTTATATGGTAGAAAAGATAGCTGACATAGTTCTGTTTGCTGATGATACTTCATTAGTATTCAAAGTCAATCGACATATTGATGATATGGACGAAGTAAACGGTTCTCTCTCTTATGTTTTAAAATGGTTTACGGCAAATAATATGCTACTAAATGCAAATAAAACTAAATGTATCAAATTTACTCTCCCCAATGTAAGGCCGGTAGATTCAAAAATCGTATTGGACAATAAATCTATTAATTTTGTTGACGATACTGTATTTCTAGGTATCACATTAGATTCCAAGTTGCAATGGGGTGCTCATATTACTAAATTGGCGAGTCGACTTAGTTCTGCCGCTTACGCGGTAAGAAGAATTAGACAATTAACAGACGTGGCAACGGCTAAACTTGTCTATTTTAGCTATTTCCATAGCATTATGTCGTATGGTATTTTGTTATGGGGCAAAGCAGCTGATATAAATACAATATTTACTTTACAAAAGAGGGCCATTCGCTCCATTTATGGTATGGGTTCCAGGGAGTCATTGCGAGAGTGTTTTAAGGAATCAAATATCCTCACCGTTGCTTCTCAATACATTTATGAAAACATCATCTATGCCAGAAGGAATATAGACAGTTTCAAAAGAGTTAGTGATTGCACTAATAAAAGCTTACGTAACAATAACAAACTGATTTTACCTAAATGTCGTTTGGCTAAAGTTAGTAATTCGTTTTATGGCAATTGCGTAAGGTTTTACAATAAAATACCAGAGTCTGTTATAAATCTGCCAGAAAAAAGATTTAAATGTCAAATAAAACAGTTCCTTTGCAAAAAAAGCTTACTATAAAATTGAAGAATTCGTTAACGATAATAATGTTTTTATAGAAAAACTTTAAATCTATAGCACTGACAATATTATCTGATTACATTAATAATGAGTGCGTAGCGACTTCTATGTTGATTATCGCATGCCTCTTACTTGTTATACTGTAATTATTTATATAAAAAAAAAACATCTATTAAAAAGAGCAACACACAAGTTTCTTGCTCATTCTTCTTGTGATGAATCTGCATTCCGAATGAGTGGTAGAATCAAAATATGACTATTCAAAAGTGCTTGTAATGAGTTTATTTGAATAAAGATTATTTCTATTTCTATTTCTATTTCTATTGATGTCAATATTTTTTTTCAACAGTAACCACATTTGACTACTCGTCATTTCGACGACGTGATGTCTGTTGTGATGTCTACGTATAAATACGTGACGGTTGCTATTTTTTATATCGTAGTACGATGTTTGCTGTTCAAGTGATAGACAATTATTAGTAGACTAACAAATATACGACTTGATACAAATGAGAAAATAATGTAAAATCTTATTCATCAATGCCATATAGCTGGAAGTAATAATCTAATATTTGGTACACATATCTCCCGAGTCAATAGAGAACTCATTTATATTCATGCAACACAGCCTCCTTTTAAGTTGAATATGAAAGGTTATTTAAGGCTACTTGTATTCTAACTAAAAATTTCCTGTAACTCCCAATTATGAGAAGTGCGGCACGCGAGTTGTCATACAGCAATTGAGCATACAGCAACAGGCAGCCATTTTGAATCTCTGAATGAGTTTTATTCTCTGAGTTTAGGTTCAGCTCCCTCAAAGAAGCAAAGAGTAAGTACGGTGTATTTGTTACTAGATGATTTCTTAATAGTAGGGGATATGACGTGAGGCGTGAGGAAAACAAATCTCTGTGTAAATCATCATCTAAAATTTGATAATGGCAACGTTAGATTAAATGTAGATTTTAATCCGGGCATGGTTTGGCATATGAGCAAAGTACAGGGACTGTCTAAAACAGAATCCTGGATAAAGCTCAACTCAGTTCGAAGCTCTTAAACTTATTAATAAAGTCAATGAAAAGAGAGCTATTGTTAAAAACGCCATGAATGGTTTACAAATACGAGAATTTTTCAGTTTGAAAGTTTACAGATTCAGTTTTTAAACTAGCCTCCGTTTATAAAAACATATCAGTGACATGTGATGAGGATGCCACTGTGAATGAGAAGAAAATTGCATTATAGACTACGGACTATCTCAGTGCATTGGTTGAAGATCGTGAAAAGCTTCCTATGATGAAGCTGACAAAAAGAATGCCCAGCGAATTTATCTACTGTTCATTATTATATAGATAGCTCTTTAGTAAATAATGAACCACATGTTAATGTGACAATAATAAGACTTCTTACGACATCAATGATGACATTGAAATTAAGTCTATTGATGAAAGGGAAGTCAATTTAAAAAAAAAAATTTGATAATGAAATTAAGACCTTGGTTAACAAAATTAAAGATTTAAAGATTAATTATCTATTATAATACGTTTCGTTAAACCTTCCATCGTACATTCCTACACTAATTGAATGAATGAATGAATGAATAAATTATTTACTTTCATGTATACGTAGCCACGTTACAAAATATGCTTCATTAAAAGAAACTACCAAATTATGTAATTAAAGAACAACTAATGCCAACAATCATTAATTAGATACATACAAAATATACAATCACATACATCGAAGTAATAAGTTATAATCATACATTTTAAAGTCACATGTTTTCAATGACAAAATCTAATCATATTTCTATCACAACTTATAATTAAATTATACAAGGGTTTATTTAAAGTGGTATTTTATAAAAGTTAATATAAATTGAAATTTTTATTCTAATTTACGAATCCCTAATAAATAAAAATATATTTATTATGTCTAGTAATAAATATAGACCGAATCCTTGCGATTTCACCTTACATAAGTATCATACCGATGAATGCTTACTTACTTATTAACAACTAGCTGTCTATGCGACTACGTTACATTAAATTTCAGTATTACTTTTAGCAAATACACTAAGAATATTATGTTATCTAAAGTAATTATTCAAGAATGAATTGCAAAATCTTTTAAGACGGAACTTCGGGAAAATTAATATTGCTCCATTGAGCTTTTTTTATCATTTAAGTCACTAGCTTTAACCCAGGTAACTTTTCTTTACATAAAAGATTTTTAAATTATAACTAACAAAATCCCTTTCGGCTATCAAAGAGTTTTTGCTTTGCTTTTGAACCTTGAAAGTTATCAATGAAAACTCTATTGTTTACATTTAATAAAAAAAATATTTAATGAAAATTTTAATAAGTTATAACATTTATATTTCAGTAAAAAAAGTAATTTCAAAATGTAAAGTGGTGAAATATATCTTTATATATTCAGAACTTTCATACTGCGTGTTTACTTTTGTAAATGTGAGCATGGCTATAATATTTTTTATTGTTGATTAAAAAATTCTATTATGGATTATAGACTAGTGGAGAAATGGAATAAGGATGAGGCCAGTTTAACCCATTGTGATAATTTTAGTAGTAACTATCTATGGCAGTTTTTAGAAGGAACTATACATATAGAGGTTAAGTTTGTAGCAAAAATGCCAGAAGTTACCAATATTATTATGGACTCCTATAAATAGCTTCATCATTATATTATTTATAGACTGAACTAAATTACTCAAGACGATACAGAGACAAAGATACGATATAGTCTCAAGGTAACCTGGGTCGATGTTATGGATACTAAATAACTGACTACTTAAGTATATTTGAAATATTTTTCGCATATAATATATGTATGTATATATAAAACAAGCAGACCAATAACTGATGATGAGAACGATTGTACTCATGA